CCCTTTAGGGAGTTCCTCACCATTTGAAACTCCCTTTCCTCCAACCGCACCTTCACTTTCCAGTTCGACATTGGTGTTATCTCTCCTCCGAGCTGCCTCATCCCTCCCTTCTGTCCTCTCTGCTTCCGCTGAGGCCAGATCTTCTGAAAACTTCGGATCTGGTTTTCCTACTTCACCCCCAAACACTAGGGGCACCAAACCTGTAATCACAGATTTGGAGAAACCTTGGATCCCTTCAAGATCCCTATTAACCTGAGACAAAAACCCTGCATCACCATTACAAAAGAAGAAAAGTAGTCATTGAGAGCCTCTCATGGTCCACCTACAATCCTCTTCCTACCTTTTTTGTCATACCAGGCATAATTTTCAAGGAGCCAAGGTAAGGCTAGGCAACAAGGGGGCACCTTGTCACCTAGTCGCTTCATAATCATATTTCCTTAATAAATATCCATAATTTTTACAAGAAAAGTATAAACTTCATGTTGAAGTATAGAAAATCAACATATTCCAACATATTCATGAAAAGAAAAAGAAGAAAGAAAAGAAAATTAAAAAAATATAGGGGCTGAACCCCTATTTCTGTTATAGGAAAAGAAGAAAAGAAAGGGTGGAAGAAGAAGAAGAAGAAATTAGTATATAAACACACAAAATTAGTAAAGAAAAAGAAGAAATGTGTTGATTGGACAACATTTTATGTTCTTCCTTACTTATTGGTTCAGGTTTTGAAGTCTTTGAGGGTTTAATACAGTATTTAGCAATAATTTTGTTGACTAAGCCCTAACAAATAAGAAAATATAAAAAGAAATTAGTATATAAACACGCAAAATGAATATTTTAGTTTAGAAATGTATTTTATAATTATAACCTCAAAAAATTAAGAATATAAAAGTTTTTTATAACACACTACAGAAAACTGCATGGCGATTAGGTGAGGCGAGCCTCCAAGGGCGCCTTGTCGCCTAGGTGTCGCCTTGACAACTATGATACCTGGCGACCACCCAAATCCATCTTTCTCTAGCCTCAGTCGAATTCCTTCTTCTAGCCGCTCCACTCCTTTTAAAATTTGGTCTGATGGATCCAGGATACTTTTTCTTGTCGATTCCTTTCCTTCTAAACGGGTTCTCCTTTCTGCCATTGGACTCATCATCTATGTAGACTTCACTCGACCTTTCTATTGGGCAGGACAAAAAACTTCAGTCAAGTACCCTGTTCAGAGAAAGCCAATGATTGTCGTGCATCGCGCTCCTTTACCTCACTATCAACTCCTGGAAGGGGTTCATCTATTCTCGTTGAACCCTAAGTCCATCATGTAATAGTAGGGGAGACACAGCAGGAATGTCAGCTAAATTTGAGCGAACCCCATTGTTCGAATTTATCAAAGGCCTAAGTTTCAAGTGATTAATAAGGTAATCACGTAAGTTTGTAACCCTAGCCAATCTATTCTTTTGAGTCGCTGGCAGACCATTCAGTTCAGCTAAACTCTTTTCGATCCCCTTCTCTTTGTATGGTGGACCCCAGCCACTCGCTAATTCAACCCCTTCAATGATGTTTCCCCATGCAATCCTCTTTCCTCGTGCGAGCCTCTTTCTTCATTAACTTCATTTATTCCCATTTCTGCATTCAACTATGGAATTTGAAGCGCCTCACCCGACTTCTTCCCCGCATTCTTTCCAGCCTCCACGTCACTACCCACCTGTGAGAGGTCAATACCCATACCTCACCGCTTGTAACCCGACTTACCATGTCATCGCCCTCCTTCATCTTCCCAAACCAGAGCATCACTTTCACTTCGAAGCCACCCACACACCCTGTTCCATAGACCTCCAGCATGCAACATGAAAGATCTTGGTATCATCTCTGGCTTGACTCCAGCAATCTTTAGGCACAATGCTCTCAGACCAAGTTTGTTGAACGAAAGCAGCACACCTCCCATCAACGTCACTATCTACTCAAGGATATCTCCCTACCACACTCATCTTTTGGCACGTTGTTTCTTGGCCACCCAACATTCTACTCAATACAACATTGTGGGCCTCACAACCATTTTACAAAACTGTCCTTTTAGCTTAGGTGGTATTCTACTATCACATAAGACTCTGGATGCACCCCTCCAATTTAGCCATTCTACACAAATTCTATAGGTGACATGCTCATCAACCTCTTCACCATTATGGATTAGTGAACCAAGGAAATGGAAGATGTCATATTCAATTATCTCTTGGTATTCAATTCTAGTGCACCGTGACTTTCACTCCTATTATATTAAATTTACATTGCATATATTCTGTTTTAGTCATACTTATTTTAAAGCCTCTTGTTTCTAATAAGGGTGATTGTGGATCAGGCCAGGCTTCACACTTAATGATAAGGGTTATAGCTTAGGCCCAGGCCTAAAATATAAGCTTGGACCTGGGTCTGTACAGACCCCAGCCAAGCCAAGCCAGACTTTGGGCCTATGGCATCTAATAATAAAAATTCAATTATTTACAAAATTTTAAATCAAAATGATGTATGATTCATGAAAAAATATTGCACAAGCCCAAGCTAGGCTGAGCTTGGCTAGGCATTGAGCCTATGGCACAAAAAATAAGGCATGGGCCTCATTTAATTCCTAGTCTCGGCTTGGCTTGGCTTGTCTGTCCTTTTATAGATGAGGCCTTGCCTAAGAAGACAATGCTCATACTTGAGTTGACTCATGTGTTGACACATGTGCCAACTCATAAAGATGTATATGTTAAAATTTTTATATTCTATACAAAATATTTAATATAAAATAAAATATATTTGCATATATATAACATATAAAATATATAAAACATAGATATAATATATATAAAGGCGTGTACATATTAATATTATGATATATTACAATATAAAAATATTATGTATATTATATTATATTGCGGGCCAGCCTGCAACCTCAGAGGTGGGCCCGGAAATTTGCTAGTTGGGCTTGACCAAGAATGATTGCCCCTAGTTTTTAAGGTATTTGTCCATTTCCATCATAAGTGTTTTAAAAGGGCAAGGGGCTTTTGGAACCCAAGGCACAAGGGAAGGTGTATGCCTTTTCAAAGCATGCACAATAATTTTAAATTAAAAAATAAAAATGCAATTAATATTAATTCAGAAAAAAAATGCATACTTGAATTTTAAAAGGCATTTAAAAAAGCCTATTGAATAAAGTTAAAACATAAACATAACATATAAAACATATTCAAACATGTGAAACTTTCAATCTATTTATTTCTCTCCCAAACATCTTGCATTCCTAATTTTATGAGATAGCCTCCACCTTCAAAAAGGCACCTTAAGGCAAGTTGAAATAAGTCCATGAGAGGGTCCTAAATTTTTGGCTTGTATGTAAACAGACGTTTTATGATTTTAGTTGCAATTCATTATATTTTAGGATTACAAACCAAATGTTATTTGATGGAGAACGTCTTGTAATAAGAAGGATGAGTAAAGACTAGCAAAAAGGAGAGCCACTATGCAAATTAAGGCATCAGGTATTTGAAAAGTCTTTGTTGTTGTTTATTTAAAAGTTAATAAAGCATTACTAATCTACAAATAGTACTGAAAGGTAATTTCAAAGTTGATAAACCACAACAAAATTGTTTTTTGGTATATATACACAAAAAAAAACTAAGCAAAGGTGCATGCTTGGGTCAAGGCACATGGTGCATCAGGTGCACGCCTTTTCAAAGGGGCTACACCTAGGCTCAAGTGAGGACATACCTTGAAATGTGCCTTACCTTTGTGCTGAGGCACACATTTTAAACCACTAAACCTAATTTTGCATTTAATCCTTCTTTAGCTTCATCAATAAATATTACGCCTTAGCAAACAACAGGCACAATGGGATCTTCTCCCAAATATGTTAGTTAGTTCAAGTTTATCCAATGACTAGTACAAGTAAATAAGGACCAAGTGCTTAGCCTTATATTACTTATTAAAGCAAAGACCTCAAATAGGAGGGTTTCTCCTTTAAAACAAAACTATCATAAAGAAAACTATCATAAAGACTCAAATAAGAAAACTATCATAAAGACTTTGAAAATGTTATATTGGTGTAGATCGCATTCTTCTAACTCAAAT